GGAGCTCCTCCAAACTTCCCCGATGACCGGGAGTTGCCTCCCCGGGTCTCGTTGCGACCCCCTTGCAACTGCAGAGCCCTGTAGCTCGGTGGTTTATGGCTCTGGAGCCAGAGGTTGGGAGTTCGATTCCCCCCACTGGGCCTTCTTGGCAGGGGCCGGACCCAGTGATCCACAGGGTCCCTCCCAGCTCAGATGATGATGATGATGACTGGATGACAAAAATAAGGTGTGGAAGTTGTGCGGAGACCAGAAGCTAGAAACCAATTTTGGATGGGCTTCGAGGGGCCACCGTCCTCCTGGTATTGAGTGCTTTGTTTTTGTTGAAAATAATAATATGTGGCATTACAACTCCTCTCTGCACTAAGGCTTGTCTGTTCAATAGTTCCGAACATAACTTCGGCTTAACTGAGGTGAGGAGCCCTTTGTCGCAACTAGAGTGACAACCCTAGTTGTCAATTTCTTTAAAAAGAACAATGCCTTGCCTTTTCTGGTCCTGGTTAGGAACAGCCTTGGATCTGCAGAAATGAACAGCCAGATGCTTAAAAATTTATTTTATTTTTAGGGGGGAAGGAGAAGTTGTTTTCATCGGCTGGGCAGGTCCACCACTCAAGTTCTTGCGGTTGGCACAGGAGCATTTTTTTTCTTTTTAGAAAAACGTTGGCACCCTTATTGTGGGGAAGGTTGGGATCTCCCCACAATAAGAAGAGAGAGAGAGAGAGAGAGAGAGGTGTCTTTCGGAAGCAGCTCCTCCCATTCATTCTCCCCCTCTCGCTTTCTCTGACTTCAGTTGTAGAGGCTGATGTCATGGCAGATGCTAAGTTGGACGCCTCGTTCTCTCTGCTCTGAGCTGCAGTGCAGATTAGATCTAGCGAAGAAGCAGAGACAAGAATATGTGTGTAAATGAGGGTCTGGAGAGGAGGAGACCAGCAGAGGGGGAGAAAAACCAAAAAAATGAGGAAAAGGAGAGAGAGAGAGAGAAGATTGTTTCATTCTGAATGATCCCAAATGATACTGATCCACTGATCTGATAATTGTCCACTCTGGTCTTTCCCCAAACCAGTCGTCTCCCCCATGTGTTGTACTACAAGTTCCATTGGGCTTAGCTTTAATCAGAATAGATGGGGGGTGATGGGGGTTGTAGTCCAGGCTGGGGATTCTGCCCAGACCGTCTCTCTCTCTCTCTCTCTCTCTCTCTGTATCTTTGTTGGCAGGCACCTCGGACAGCAGTGTGCTGTGCTTTGCTCCCCATCCTACTGTCCCCTTGTCTTCTCCTTCTTTCAAATCCATGCGGCTCTGGGTACAGCAGAAGGATTTCCGTTAGAGACATTAGCAGGCTTGCTTTTTATTGATACAGGCTCAGCTGGAGATGGACTGGCCTTTTTTTTAAAAAACAAAAAGGATAGCAAAGACGTGCACACAAACCGCACAGCTTTCTTTCTTTGCTGGACCTCTGACCTAGAACACCTGTTCGACATCATTCCATCCTGGATACATTCCGGGTAACTATGATAATCATGTGCCGTCAAGTCAATTATGAGTCATGGAAACCCTTTTTTAAAGGGTTTTCGAGGCAGAGAAAACACTGAAGGCTACACAGGCTGGCTGTCTTCCACAGCAGGAATTGAACTCGCAGCCCAGTGCCTCAATCTACGGTACCTTTTAACACACGTTTCCCCAACAAAAACCGTTGGATTGCTTTACACTCATGCCTTCTTTATATTTGTATCTTCAAAGCATCTACTAAAAGAATAAATATATATGTTTATAGACAATTCAACAAGTAGCCTTTTGATGATGGGATATGTAGTCTGACAACCTCTTGGAGGCACAGATTCCTCCCCTCTGAGTTTAGAGCATGGAGAACAAGCTCACATTAAAATGTAATAGTTAAAGTGCCAGATGTTTTTGTCTTTTTTGTTTGCTTGTTTTGTCTCTTTGGATTTTGTAAGATCTGAAAATACTTTAAGATTCAAACCTCCTGGAAGGACCAGTGGTCCAGCAAAAGAACAAGGCATATTCCTAGATTTGTGAAGGGTACTTCTGTTCTATTCAGAATATTTTGGGATTTATAGTGGAAATCTGTTGGAATAAAGTTTCATGGCCAGTTCAAAGAATGATGTACGTCCAGTTCTTGTTATAGGTCATCAAGTCGCTTCTGAATTAATGACTTACGGCATGTTCTCTCCTTAACAGCCCTGCTCACATCTTGCAGATTCAAGACTGTGGGTTCCTTTAGTCAATTCATTTCATATTTTGTCCTCCTCTTTTCCTGCTGCCTTCAACTTTTCCTACCATTATTGTCTTTCCCAGTGAATCTTGTCTTCTCATGTTGCGCCCAAAGTAGGACAATGGAGTTTCCGTTGATCTGTCCCAAACCACAAATTTCTGACCTTAAATATTATGTCCCAGAACAAGCTGTGGAAAGATGGGCTAATCGCCAGCTACCTTTCTCCTGAGCTGCGGCTTTGCTCCCGCCCAGTGTAGTTTCCATGGCAGGCTGATCCCGTTGCGTGACCTTATTAACCTGACACAGGAAACATCTTGCTGGGCACAGCTTCAATCTGATGGTAGTCGTGACCTTCTGGAGTGTTTTGCCCCCTTCTCGGAGGGTGGACGGGAGCAGCTCGCAGACTGGACATTCCTAAACCATGGGCTGCGAGCGTCGTGCTAGGGCTGAAGGGCTGCAAAGGTTGTGGACAGCTCCCAGTACCGAAAAACGGAGGGGTTTGCCCCGGGGTGACTCTGCCTGAGTCACCGTTCTACCCTTGCCTCCTTCTGGCAATTCCTCCTGTCGAGACAGGTGAGTCCTGTCGCTTCTCTGCATCCGCTGGACCCAAGTCACAAGACAGCAGAATGACTGCTTTGTTGGGTCAGGATTTGCCCCCTGGGTCTCTGTGTAACTTGCTGCCGATTGGAGGGCTATAAGTAAAAGAAGACAGCTATCCTGCATCATCTAAAAGCTATGTAGGAGAGAGGATTTCAGCTGAACAGGCTGCATGACATGGAGGAAACAAACAGATAGATAATAGAATGATGGGGGAAAGACTAGAGGGAGTATACAGTGGTGCCTTGCTAGATGATGATAATCCGTTCCACTGAAATCGCTGTTTAGCGAAATCATTGTCTAGCAAAAAGCATTTCCCCATTGGAATGCATTGAAACCTGTTTAATGCGTTCCAATGGGGAAGAGTCGTCGTCTAGCGAAGATCGGCCATAGGAAAGCCGCTTTGCGAACCGCGGATCAGCTGTTTAAATACCTGTCTTGCGAAAGTTAGATCCCGAAAACACCCGTTTTGCGAGTGTGGAGGGAGCTGTCAAAATCGTCAGCTAGCGAAAATCGGTTTGCGAAGCAGGGACCAAACATTGTCCAGCGAAATTCCCCCATAGGAATCGCTGTTTTGCGAATTGCTATAGCGGTCGCAAAAAGTCAATGTCTAGCAAAAAAACTGTCATGCGGGGTAACTGTCTAGCGAGGCACCACTGTAATGGAAATGGACCTTGCTAGCCGATTGGTGCCTTTGACAAGTTTGTTTTGATCCTGTTGAGGAAGGCGCTGGGTGAAGCAGAATTTTCCTGAACCCTCCATCCCATGTCTCCACTACGCTCCCACTTTCCCGCTGTTTTCCTCTCACAGTCAACCCGTCAGGCAGTCTGTCAGGAAGCAAGAACCCATGAAAAGGGGCTGGCTGGCATCCTGCATAGGAAGACTGTAGTGTTCCTGCGCAGATCCTAGCTTATTCTTTTATGTTCTTATTCAAGTCATTAAGCAAGAATTAGGGATTCTAGCAGTCTGTTACCCACCCATTAAACTTTTTATAGGTATTATGACCATCATGTAGCAATGAAAATTGTTCGGGCAAATTGTTTCTTTCACGTCTGTTGTTCCCCATCTTTTCTGGAAGCCACACTGAACAGACGTCCACCGCTTTGCCAGCTGTATTGTTTTTTTTTTAATTGCCTGTGTAATAGTTTACGCCTAGAAAATGTACACAGATGAAATTCTGCCTTGCTCTCCAACCGGTCTCTGTTGAGAATCCCTGCTGTCTGATCTGATCCTGTCCCCAAATATCTCACCAATGCCTCCCATCCCAAATCACAACGTCGTGACTTCAGATCCTTTTGCTCGGATCTGCCTCAGGATTACTGAGGCGTTCAGAAAAGGAAAGCAGTCACATTTCAGAATCTGCCTTTAAAATCTCCAAACAGCAGAAGAGTTCAAATCTCTCTCTTGTGGGGAGGAAGCCAAATATCTTGATCAGATGGTTGTAAGCTCTCTCTGTGAGAAACTCCCCAGGGACGGATCCAGAACTGAGGGAAATTGAAGGCCAGGCTACAACAAACATGGGGGGGGGGAAGCTGTTTCAATAATATTCCTTGAGGTGTTCATTCAGGAACACTTTTTACTCTTTATGAAAATTATAAAAATATATTTGTTATGTTATTTAATAATAAATTAGCAATAATCACTGGCTGTCAAGTCAATTCTGACTTATGGAGACTATTTTCAGGGTTTTCCAGGTAGAGAATGCTCAGACGTGGTTTACCCTTCCCTTCCTCTAGGGGGAGGCCTGGGACAGTGCAGCTGGCCCAAGGCCACCCAGGCTGGTTCTTCTGGCATGCACGGTGGGGAATTGAACTTCAAACCATACTTAACTCACTGAGCTATCCATGGTTTGGGGTTCTGGCTGCAGAGCCAGAGGTTGGGAGTTTGATTTCCCCCGGGCCTCCTTGACAGGGGCTGGTCCATGAGGTCTCTTCTAGCCCTGCCGTTCTAAGAAGATGGTGATGATGATACCTTCTCTTCTCTCCAAAACGTGGATGTACCTACAAAAGCTCACGTTGAAATACAACTGTTAGTGTACATTATTCACAGTCCTCTAGAAATTCGGGCATCTTCCCGTGTTGCTGTGCAGTCCCAGGCTCCGTTGAATTTCTGTTTTGTTCAAGCATGTTAATTTTGACTTATTTCCACCTGAGTTTGCAAATGAATTAATATGCATTGCATCTGATATATCCACGTTTTTCAAGCAATCACTCTGTGTAGCCCTTCTTGAGTGCAACATCCCCTGATGTCTGCATTGTCCATAGAGTCATAGAATACTGGGGCTTATAAGGCTATCTTACTTCCTCTGGTCCCACCTCTGCCAATCGTTTTATGGGTCATATATTTGCAAGCTAATAATAATGTTGATCCAGTGATAAGGTGATAGAGTGCTCTAGTGTAAAACTCATATATGTAAGATTTTTTTAAAAATAAAAATTTGGAGGACACTGGGGGGGAAGAGGAAATAATGTGTTCCCTGGTTCCTGGACACCAAACCCAAACTGCTGACATCACCAAAACACTACCTATAGACATTCCCCTCCTCCTTTACAAGAACATTTCACAACCAATCACATGGGAAGAAGCCTATTTGAATCTTTTTAGCCTGAAAAAATAGAAGCCTCCCGGGGGTAGCAAAAAAAGGGCGGATCTATTTAAATCAGCCTTTGCGTTGTGCGATAAAAAAAAAAGACTTCAAATTCCCCTGTTTTATAAGCAGAGTATTTCCCGTGAATTTGACCCTGCGCTCGCAGCCTTAATCACTTCCACCAGTGATGCTCCTCACCTTGGCATCATAAGAGTCAGGCTTGACAATGGTTTTAATTCCCGTTTATGTCTCAAACATGACTTGGGCTCTCTGAGCAAAGGTGAAGCTGCCTCTTAACCAGGAACGGCTCCTTGGTGTAATCAGCTGCTGCCTAATTGGAGTCTTGAACTTGAAAATCGTTAAGCTGATGGAAGTGTGACTGCAGTAGCTCAGTGGTGGTAGGAGGAGAGGTGCTGTTCAGCTCATTAACTAAGTGTAAGGGTGCAGATAAGTACCAGTGATTTATGGCTGTCTTCCTGACCCCTTGAAAATGTAATGTGAAAATCTTCCGCCCCTCCGTCTACATAAAACGATCCCTAACCACTGTCATTATGCCGTTCTGATGCTATGAAGAAAGGAATGCTGTAGTAGGGTGGAATACAATTAAGGCGGCTTCAAACACCTTTTCTCATTACGAGAGGAATAGGGTCCTTCCAAATTTACCATTTGTTCTCCTTAAAATACCAGGTTCTGTTTTCCTCACCATTTGCCTGATATTCCTCTGATCTTGCTTTACACGGTGCTTCCTGCTCTCCTCCCGCCCAGACTTTCTGTTCCTTTTCTGTCCTGTGAAAACATGGTTTATTTTTATTGTCCCTTTGTGCTGGTCTGGGCAGAGTTTACTTCTCCCCATTTGCTGGTGGTGCCCATTCTGGGAGATTTTGGTTGGAAAACTTCCAATTAGCGCTCAGGTAGCCATTTCTTGCTCCTGCTGGCTGGCTCTGGAAGCGGCTGCTGCATTTTACCCAATGACAAGGCCGGCCCTGTTCTCATTTTCAGACAATGCAGATGCCCAGAGGAAGATCTTTCCACGCAGAGATCTGTTTGGGCTCGTCTGGTTGCAACTCAGAAACCCTCCAGTCTGCATCTGTGCTTGCTAAATACAGTGGTGCCTCGCTTAACGGGTGCCCCGTTTAACGACGGATCCGCATAGCGATTAAGTTTTTGTCATTGTTTTTGTGATCGCATTGCTATGTTTCTAATGGGAAAAATTGCTTTGCGATGATCGGCAAGCTGTTTCGCTTACCAATTTTCGCATAACGATGATTGCCCAACATCTGATCGGCAATTCCAAAATGGCCACCGGGTTAAAAAAAATGGCCTCCCGCTGTGTTTTTGCACCCATTCCTTGCTTACCAGGCACCGAAAATGGCCGCCGTATGGAGGATTTTCGCTTAAAGGTGAGTTTTTTGCCCATAGGAACACATTAAACAGGTTTTAATGCATTCCTATGGGCTTTTTTGTTTCGCATAGCAACGAATCTGGATAGCGACGATTTTTCCGGAACAGATTATCATCGCTATGCGGGGCACCACTGTACTGCCTTGAGCAAACTGCTCTTTCTCAGCCTCAGTTGCCCCATTGAGTATTTAAGCTATTTATCTTCCATTTCTCCATACCACCACCAGAAGATGCAGAATGACGAGCAATTTCAGTTTTTAAAAACAGCAAATAAACCAATAAAACCACAAATGGTGCAGAAAGCCAGGAGGAAAATGTGTTGCAAAGTTTTAAATTTTGGCTAAATTCCTCTGGCTGCACAGCAGAAATGTAGGGATTCACAGAGCAGAATAGCTTCAATTGCCTCAGAGTAGTCCACCTTTTTTTTGGCACTTACACTCTCAATTACTCTCTCCGATACATTTGTAGGAGAAAGAATAAAAGGTGTCATTTACTTACAGTTGAACAGATCCACAGCAAACTGAATAAACACGGCTGGCTGACACACTGGCTGCTGACAGATTAAAAAGAGAGACAAAGAGATATACTGAGCAGAGAGGTGGGGCTTTCTTTGAATTCAGAGGCAGGGAAGGAATGATTGGTTAGCGCTGGGTGGATTGACAGTCCAGAAAGGTCCCTCCCAGCCATACCTACTAAAAGGCAGCATGCGAGGTTGCAAAAAACTCCAACAAAATGGGAATAGGTGGTTAATAGGAAAGAGTTCATGACCAAGTCTTGTGAAAGACACATTGGAATAAAGTTGTCCTTATCACCGAAGGAGGTAGCCAGACTCTCCAGCACAAGGGAAATACAAGCTGGTATATTTTTTAAAAAAGACCACCAGTGGGTGGGGTCTTTGGGTGGAGAATATAAGGAACAATGTCTCTCAATCCACTGCGATGGCGTTTGCAAGTGGAACAGGGAATAACATCTGGAAGGAATATATGACCCTCCAGATGTTGACAAACTGTGCCTGTCAACCCCTCCATCCTTGGAGCTGATGGGAATCGGAATCCACGAATACCTGGATTGCCATGAATTTCCCAACCCTGCTTTATAAGGTATCTGATTTCCAGCTGTTCAAGATTTTAAAGATGTAACCACAAGCACCTTGATCTAGGCTCAGAAATGGATCACACGTAACGAAGGCAGGTAAAATAATAAAGCCAGATGCTCTTTTAAAAAATGAGGCTGGGTCAAAGTCTTGAGGGCTCCCCTGCTCGTTCTGAAAGCTTTTCAAAGGCAGTCCTGAAATAGTTATGTGTTACAGTAATCTAAGTTTGCTTACTTTTACAGGCTTGTTTATAAGGGAGATGGTGGCTGTAAATGTTTTATTGAGTTGTAGGGAAAAATAAGCAGTATACATCATGAAATTCACTGAGTAGGAAATAAGCAGAGAAAACATCAACAGGAAAGAAGAAAAGGCAAAACGGACAGAGAAGGCATTAAGAAAACAATAAAAATAACAGTAGCTGTTAGTCATAATCTGTTGTTAGAGAGGATTGCAAAATATAATAGAATAAATTCACAACAGGAAAGAAAACCTACCTATCATGGAACCCCCCCTCTTCATCTTGCCATTTCTTTTTCCAAAATTATATTAGGCATCCTTCAGTCTCGATAGACTAATGTACTCTGTATGGAGGACTTGGAACAGCATCTAGTGTGGCTGAGAAGGCCAATTCGAGAGTGCCCATCCCTTCCACACTGAAGACAAATACAGTGGTGCCCCGCATGATGCCGATAATCCATTCTGGGAAAATCGCTGTTAAGCGAAATCGTCGTCATGCGAAAAGCCTTTCCCCATTGGAATGCATTGAAGCTCGTTTAATGCGTTCCAATTTATATTTATTTATTTTATTTATTTATTTGATTTTTACCCCGCCCCTCTAGACCAATGGGGAAATTACCTCGTCATCCAGTGAAGATTGCCCATGGGGGAAGCCATTTTCTGAGCTCCGGTCAGCTGTTAAAAATGGCTGCCCTGTGAAGGATGGGTCCAGAAAACACAGGGCAGCCATTTTGCGGAGCCGGAAAAATCGTCATCTTGCCAACAAACAGTTCGCAAAGCACGGACCTAATTGACGTCCAGCAAAATTTCCCCATAGGAACAACTGTTTTGCGAATCGCTATAGCAATTGCAAAAAGTCACCATCCTGCAGATTCGTCATACGGCGGGGTCGTCGTCTAGCGAGATACCACTGTACTGTATTCTTTTTCCAAAATACCAGCAAACAGTGGCTGAAGCCTTGTTCTTTAGTGTAGTAAGCTAGCATAGACTCATTGATTCCGTGGAGTTTACAGGAAATTCGGCTCACCAAAGCCCCACTGATTCAATGGGCTGTCCCTGGTTGTGACTTGCTTTCATCTTAGAACCTTAGAACTACAGGGCTAGAATAAAGCTGGTGAGAATCGCAGTCCAACATCTGGTGGGCTGATGTGGGCTGATAGGTGGGTTCCAGATGTTAACGGGTATTTGATTTTTCTACAAGTGGCTAAAGTGGAGGACAGGGAGTCTAGACACATTGTTCTCAACCTTGGGTCCCCAGGTGTTTTTGGACTACAACTCCCAGAAGCTTTTCTCACTGTTCCTGGCTGGAATTTATGGGAGTGGCCATCCAAGAACATCTGGGGACTCAAGGTTGGGAACCACGACCTTAGATCCAGGTGCTCATGCCTACAGAGCCACAAAACTTAGTGGATGGCCTTGGGACAGTCTATCTTCCTGGCCTACCTTGCAGGACTCTTCTGAAGATTAAGGAGGAAGAAGATTAAGGAGGAAGAACTGGCCTGAGTTCACTGAAGGAAAGATGAGCTAGAAATGTAGTTAAAAATAATTGCGTTTATTCTTATTCTTCTCTTCCTCATCAAGCTGCAGGGGAGTTTATTCATTCAATCTGCTCTTTGCTTTGCAGACCCAGATTGGGCCTCTCATACTTTAGGAGTGTTCATCTGCTTAAATTGTTCGGGGATCCACCGCAACATCCCGCACATCAGTAAAGTGAAATCAGTCTGCTTGGATGAGTGGGACAGCGCCCAGGTTGAGGTAAGTGCTTGTGTTAAGAGGGAAGGAAGGCTGGGTGTTTTTTAATTGTATTTTTTCAAGCGTGCACCTGTTATTTGGGTACAATAGGGCCCCCTTACCCATGGAACCAGTATCTGCTGATTCACTTATCCGCAGTCTGAAAATATTAAAACTATTAAAAGAGCAATGCGAGAAATATATGTTTCTAAAGATGACGTTACCAGACCTAGAGGGAGCCAGAAACCATGCTAAATACAGTGGTGCCCCATATAGCAACGATAATCCGTGCCAAAAAATCATCGCTATGCGGATTTGTCGTTAAACGGGGCACTCGTTAAGCGAGGCACCACTGTATAGTGTTCTTCACTATAATCCACATTTCTCAGCATCCATGGGGAGGAGGCTTTGAACCGATCCCTTATGAGATAGCAGCCCTACTGTGTTTCATTTCCACTTCAGCTGATCTAAAGGGATCCATGTGGGAATTGTTGTGAAGTGCCATCCAGTCAATTTTGAAAGCCCTAACTGGGTTTACAAGGTATGTGAGATTTTAAAGGAGTGGGTTACCATTACTAGCCCCCCAAAAGACTTCTGTGGCCAAGAAGGGATTTGAATCCAGAGCTTCTGAATGTGTCAAAATAAGACTCATCCCCCCCCCATTTCTGTGGACTCTGGAAGATGGAGCATGTGTTCTCCTTGGAGTACTGCATTCTAGATTTGTCTTTCCAGTGTTTTTCCAGCCATCCACACGACGTTGGCTTTCTCTCACTCTGTGCAGTGCTTTTCTTCCCACCCTGTGACTTCTGACTCCCTTTCGTTCCTCTGCAAGGCACGGTTTAATAGCGCTTGTCCTCGGGCTGAAGTTTCATTAGCATTTCATGCTATTTGCAGTTGTTGTCCTTTGTTGGAAGTGTTCAAGTAGCACTCAATTAATGCTTTTTTTTCCCCAAAAGAACCTCCAGGCAGTGCAGATCCAGCTAGGAAAAAAAGTCTTATAAAATAAATAGATTTCATAAGGGGAAGGCGGATAGATTTTTAAAGAGATTTCTGGACCCCAATGCAGGTAAACCCATGTTCTTTTGGGGCCAAGTGGCAGACAGATGTTCCATCTGGGAGACGTGAAAATTCTTTTCCAGAAGATTTTGGAGGCCCCTTCTTCTTTTTGGAAAACCAGATTTCTTCTTCTTCTTCTTTTTTTGCAGTTCATGGCTTCTAAGGGAAACAATGCACAGAAAGCACACTACGAATCGAAAATCCCGCCCTTTTTTTACAAGCCGACTTTTTCCGACTGCCTGTAAGTACCTCTGAAAATTTATTTTCCTGTTTCTAGCTGCTGGGTAAAACTTCTGTGTTGCTGCACCATTGGCTGTGTGTGCATGTGTGTGTGCATGTGTACACATTTATTTGTGCTGAATTTTTAATTCCTTGGTGGGGCTTGATTTATTAAAAAAAGGTCCGGAGAATCTCTATAGTCCTCTTTGCATGTCTCAGGAACACCCTTCATCTCATTGATTCTCATAAAAAACTTCAGCATACCTAGATGTTGCAGGAAAAGAGGATAATTTTGTATTTTCCCCTCCCCACAATATACCCCGTGGATTGCCTTAGTTTACAAAATACCAGAACTGCTAGTTTGATTCCCCGCAGTGCCTCTTTGACAGGATGATCCATAGGGTTCTTTCCAGCTCAGCAGTTCTAAGCTTCTGATGATGATGATGATGTCAGACTCACTTCTCTGAATGACAGCTTCCAGAATCCTGCAGCCAGCATGGTTGTTGGGGGTTTGTAGTCCCAAACATACCATTTCCATGCTCCAGCCCTGATACCCTGAGCTGCATTTGAAGTTTGGAGAGGGGCATGGTATCCTGCTTCCACCAGTGATGTCACACATGCCAGCCATGTTGCATGAGCCCGAATGTGTATTTGAACTACAGTGGTTAAACGGGCGCTTAACGGGTGCCCGTTTAATGAGAATCCGCATAGTGATTAAGTTTTTGCGATCGCAAAAGCGATCGCATTGCCATGTTTTAAGTGGGTAAACATCGCTTTGTGATGATTGGTAAGCGTTTCACTTACCGATTATCGCATAATAATGTTTTTTAAACAGCTGATCAGTGGTTCCAAAATGGCCGCCGGGTAAAGAAAATGGCCACCCGCAGTGTTTTCGCACCCTTTCCTCGCTTACTGGGCAGCGAAAATGGCGGCCGCATGGAGGATTTTCGCTTTAAGGTGAGGTTTCCCCCCATAGGAACACATTAAATGTGTTTTAATGCATTCCTGTGGGCTTTTTTTGCCCCGCATAGCGAGGAATCCATATAGCGACAATTTTTTTGGAACGGCACCACTGTACATACCTATATTTACTTTTTCACCAGGAGAGTAACCAGGATTTGAAAAATGTTTATTTATTTATGGTGGGAGTTTCCGCAACCTTGCATGAGGCCTCTAGTAGACAATAGACAGATTGACTGTCAATCTGTCACCAGGAGAGTAACCCGGGACTTGACAAATGTTTATTTACTTATGTTGGAAGTTTCCGCAACCTTACATGCGGCCTCTACTAGACAATAGACAGATTGACTGTCAATCTGGCCGGCACTAACCAATCGTTCCTTCTCACCTCTGATTTCAAAGACAACCCCGCCTCTCTGCTGAGTGGTTCCCCCCCTTGAATCAATTCAGTTCTGTTGCTGAAAGCAGTTAGTTTGCTGTTAATCTGTTGAATTGTTAAACATTAAATCTTTTTTTCCCTTTCTATTATTAATCATCTCAGATGGGTTATTGAGACTGTATGTGGGGAAAGGGGTGGGCTAATCTGGGGGAGTTTCAAGTTATTCTGCTCTGTGAATCCCTTCAGCTGTGCAGGTAGAGGAATTTAACCAGAGATTTAAAAGCCTGCAATATTTATTAGTTGCCGTTGCAGCTTGTCTTTCCTCCACTAAGCTTGAGGCACCGTACATGGCTCTCCTCTCTCAACCCCCCCCACATTTATCCTCCTTACAACCCTGTGAGGTAGGGCAGGCTCTGAGACTATACCTGACATAAGTCCGCCTAAGGAGCTCTATGACCAAGGGGTGGCCGTTTCAAACCCACATCTCACAATTTGTACTTTCCTGTTCCACTAAACTGTTCAGGTCATCGCATGTGATGTGAGAAACACTGTCACAATGTCAGGGCCCAAGTTTTGTTTTTAACCGTTCAGGGTTAAATAAGTCGCAGCGTACAAGGCTTTCGCGTTGCGTGCGCAAAAGGAAGTGGGCATCTCACATTTCGATTTGTCAAATGGTTCTGCTGTGCTACGTAGAGGTCTTTTCTCAGGAAGCCTGTGGTGAGCCAAAGAGGGAAGCTAAACAGAATGGAGGATACTGAAAACGACAATCCGGGTAGGTTTGTCTGGGAGCCTCCAAGAAGACGTCGGAAGGGAGCCTCGCATAGCTCAGCGGTAGACCACCTGGCTTGTACGCAGGAGGTCCTAGGTCCAATTCCTGGCATCTTCCATTTTGAAACAAATCAGAAAGCCGGAATGGATGCTTTCTCCCAGATATCGAGGCCCGGCCCTACTAGTGGGCAAAACGAGGCAGCTGGCTCAGGGGAGAGATACTAAGGGGGAACAGGAGGGGAAGCTTCTCCTGGCATTTCCTCTGGAGCGCCTCGTCCATTCCCTTCTGTTGGCGGACAATCATTGACTCAAGTTTTGATTTGGGCTCCATGCCACTCTGGGCCTGGATCACTTTCTCAGCTGATCTCAGAACGGTCAAGTCTGCTGGATATGTGGCTGGGGGAATCACTAGGGAAGATCAGAGATCTTTGGGTAGGACTAGGAAAGGCTCCTAGTGTGTCCTGCTGAAGGTGGGTCCAGAGATTCCCCAGGTGCAGCCCCGAGGGCCGTTCCTGGCCAGCATCTGACTCCCAGGCTGGCTAAAACTGCTCTTGCTTCTTCTTCTACCCCTGGCTCAGGGTATCTCCCTCCAGGCTCCGCCTCCCTTACCTGCAAGTAGGAACCCTTAAAGACCTACTACGTTGCACTCTTTGGTTTCTCACCTGTGCTCCAACATACTAGGTCAAGTCCTGCAGGCGTCATAGATGTTGTAGGCATGCTGGGTTCAGAATATGGGGTGGTGATGGTGGAGGAGTGGAGGACCGGCTGGTACAGAGGCGTCCAAGGTGGCTGGCTCAGGGATTCTCCTCTACTGCCTTCTGGATGCAGGAGTCCCTAGCTGGATGTGATAGTTGCTCCCAACCTAAGCAGCTATTTCTGCCAATCAGAGCTGATCATTCTGGCTTCCATGGAAAGAAGAATCTAACACAGTAGAAGGCAGCTGCTGATGTTCCTGTGATCCTCAAGTCCAATAAGAGTCTATCCTCAGTAGCCATACGTTCTGGGCTGTCCCCCAATCCTGGCAATTTGTTACTGGAGTGGAAATTTGAATCCTGATCTCCAGACCTCTGATCTTGCTTTGTCTTTGAGGCCCATTAGTTGTCTCAATGTGGCTTCCCTTTGGATCACACTTTAATTGTGTTGTACAATTGCTTACCCCCCAGTTCAGCACAGGGAGCCCTGATCTGGATTGGTGCCACTAGGTGTGGAAGGAGGAGGCTAACTCTTGTCTGTTTTTCCTCTTCCCTCCTTCTCGATCCATGCAGGTGTGTGTGTGTGGAGACAACCATCACCCTCAATTTTCTTACTCCTCTTCGGCCATGTTGGAGAAAGGATACACAGCAGTTCTTAATAAGAGCTGTTGTATGTCCTTTTCTCCATGGCCAACCTTTAAAATCTTAAGAGCTGTATGATGGCTGCAAAGTTTTACTGTGGTAGATGGGGAGCTAGTTCTGATTTCTTTTTGATGTTTTATATTCTCAAAAAAATCATCTCCATCAGTTGTGCACTTGGGGGAAAACAGATGCTTTATTTTCATCCAAGTTCCTAAGAGGAAAAACAGAAACCAGACATCTAGTCTGTATCCTCAATTATTTCTGCAAGAGATCTGTTTCCTAGGGAAGGATTAATAATTCCTGGCTGATCCTTAATCATGTGTCTGTTTCTTTCCTCCCACCTTTTATTTGTTCTTTGCAGGCTGCTACGAGAACAGTGGATCAGAGCCAAATATGAAAGGAAGGAGTTCATTGACGTTGAGAAACAAGAACCGTATTCTGCAGGTAGGGAAGGATGTTTTCTGCAAATCGATATTAAGTGTTCAAAGGTTTCACTTCATTGCGTACATTCAGATCAAAGCTTCATGAACTTCAAGTAAGGTTGCTGATTATATGACTTTGGGGGAGGGGATTAATGGGGATGTAATGAAGTTTAAAAAATTATATTTCAAAAGCAATGGAACTAGTAGGAACAAAGTTACTTTATGTAATGAATAATGTTTTCTAGTTACTTTCAAAAATAATTTTTGAAGCATTTTAGAACAAGTTTTGGACCATTCTTTTATCAGTCCCAAGGTTTGGGGTTTTTAAAAAATGTGATTGATTGATTGATTGATTGATTAATTAATAGTAAAGCTTTGAGAAAATAACAACTACACTCTGACAGGGGTAGGGTTACGGGGTGACATTATAATGAAGTTATTTGTAAAACACCCTAACCAGTAATGGAAACCAATTACTTTTATAATGTAACTTTCTGAACTCGACTGTAGATATCATTGGGAGCCATGATTTCTGCCATATGAATGAGTCATAGTGAACAAAGAGGTCAGAGGTTTTGCTGTCCTTTCCATACCCCCCCCCCAAAATACTGATCTCTACCTTATGAGGAGGGGCCAGGTATGAGTCTAAGTCTTCTCTCTTCTAATCCAGTCAAGCCCCTTTGCTCTTCCATCCTTGATCTTGTGGAATCTGTGTTTTTAAACCTGTCACAGGTGAGTTTCAAATCACCTTTCGCTCATGTAAAATGGGGTCTGTTCCAAGACAGAGACAGAATATAAATCCCTGGTGGTGCACATACAGCTTTTTAGCACTGTTGGGGGATCTCCCTTTTCTTGACGACGGTTGCTGTGTGGGAGAGTCAGTGCTCCGGCTTCCCCTCCTGAAAGTGCTGGGATATAGAGGTTTGCTTTTGCATGGCGAGCTTCTTTTCCAGGACTGAGCACTTGCAGCTTGTGTGTGTACGTGTATATGTTTGTGTGTGAGAGAGAATTTCTATCTGCCTGTGTGATAGCAATTTGTAAATGATTCAGAAGGGGAGAATCTTACAGGAGCCAGTGGGGGTATCAAAAGCATAGACTGATATCCAGTCGAGAGGATAAGAACATAATGCTTCACTGAGGGAACTCCTGTCTGATCTCTGGCTTGCAGTACCTCAAGCAAAGATCGCCCCATTTAAAAATAAGGGAGTTATGCATGTTCACGGAATAATAAAATCCTCCTTGTGCAAGCTCAGAAAAGTCTCAGCCTCTCATGGAACTGAGTCATCAGAAAGAGATTCTGCTCTCCAGAGCTTGGAAGTAACTAGTTTTTTTTTCTAGTTACAAATAACCAAAGGCTGGGAAAGTTATTTTTTTAACTACAATTTTCAAAATTCCCCAGACAACATGGTGAGGAATCATGGAGATACTGTGGCTCAATAAAGTTATTTTCCCGAGATCTGCAAAGAACTAGTTACTTGTAGTTATGGGGTGGCAGGGAGATGTGTGGGGTAGTCTCAGGGTGCTGGGGGGGAATCAATGTCTTCTGCCCTACTTCTGAAGTTGCCCACCTCTGTCTAGAGTAATTCTTTATCAGTCTCAGCATCCTTGTGAGCAAATACTTCACAAGGAACCTGCTGTTTTGTGCAGTTCCAAGCAGAAACCTGTCCCAAGCATTTTAAAGAAGTTTTGTTTAGACCGAGGCGAATGCCACCCTCTTGGCATTTGCAAAGCTGTTGGGAATCACCTGTCAAGTGTTTTGCAAATGCCAAACCAAAGCTGTGGTCGCTCACATGACAGTTGTACCTTAGAGAAACCCAGGGGAGCGAGATTTCTCCGTTCAGGGCCAGAGAGATGCCAAAGTCAAGAAGGGCAGGGAAGCTTGAAAGGCAAGCCTAGTGGGAGAATGTGACAAAGAGCCACCAGGGCTGTGGGAGGAGGAAGATGCAGAACATCGAAGCGGGAACATAAGTTTCAGGGCTTCGTCTTGTATGTCAAGACAGCAGCTACAAAGGGTTTCTACTTCCTCTTCCCATAGGATAACTTCAAGCTGGTGTTCATCTGTGTGGAAAGAGATGGTTTTGAGAAGACGGAGTTGGAATCGGCTTGGAGTTCGTGGGGCCAGTGTATCTGCTCCAGGTTTTAGTGTGAGCCTTGCAGGAGCTGTCCACGGTGCTGAAGGTGGTTACAGCATAGGATCTGGCACATTGGAGAGCTTCTGTGAAGTTCAGATTAGGGATGTGCGCCTTCATGTTTCTGGATACCCAACTCCCAGAATTTTTCAAGAATTTCTCAGGTGGAATTCTGGGAGTCCAAAATCATAAACCTGCAGTCCTGTGGATTTTGCCCTGCACCCCCGGGGAATAGCTTACCTCCAATGCTGCATTGGCTTCTCAGCATTTGCTTCTTGTTGTTCGCTCTTTAAAAAAGTAAGCTGCTGCTGCATTTCCTGGGACCTGTAGTTCTTCAGAGGGTGCACTCTACAGAGTGCTGCAGGCAGCAAGATGATGACTCCCAGCATCTTCTGCACCTAGGAGGTTAACCACTAATACTATCGTTGGGACTGACCAACAGGAGATGCTGAAAATCATTGTCTCGCTGCCCTTTAGATACTGTAGAGAACACCTCCTGAAGAACTACAGCTTTCAGGGGAGTTTTGTAGCAGCTTTAAAAAAAATTCTAACAAGAAACAAAGGCCAGGGAACCCTATGCAGCATCGGAAATAAGCTGTTCCTTTGGGACTCCAGAGGACTGTAGATTCGTGTTTGTAGGTTGAAACTCCCAGATTTCTGCCTGGGGGATTCTTGGAGAATTCTAAGAATCGGGGAATCCAAAAACTCAGAAGAGTACACAAACCCCTAGTTGAAACTCCCAAGGCCTCCGAAGAACACGCCGATTCGAGAAGCCTCTGAGAGGTGGGGCCATTTTCGCTGGTCCCCTCTCTCAGTGGGTGGGTGGATGTGTTGTCATTGAATTTCAGCAGGAAGTCATCCAGCCATGACGAAGGGCAGAACTTCACGTCAAGCCTCCTCAGATCACCCACCTACGTGCTGTGAGAGAACACCAAGTCTAGAGGGCGACCCAGACTGTGAGAGGAGCTGGTGATGTTTTGGGAGAGGCTCATGGAGTCCATTAACTCCAAGGGCGCTCCAGAGCACCCCGTCTCTGCACGGATGTTGAAGTCTCCCGTAACAATAATGTGGAGTCCCCCCAACATCACAGCTCAGACAAACTCTCTGGCAGGGCTTGACATTACCTGGCAGGGATTCTTCAAAGTTTTAGGCAAGAATCTGCTCAGACCTCCGTAGCAATATTGGGCATGAAACTGGGGAAACAATGTGTACAAAAAAAATGGGCTTTTCCACCGAGGTACACGTCTGTCCTTCTTCGTCACCACTCGTCCTGAGTTTTGTAGAGCGTCTTCCCTTCCTTTTGGTTCACCTCAATGGAGAAGCTGCTCTAGGAACACTGGCGCCATGTTAATGTCATTCTCAAGCCCCCAGAGGAGAGGCTGAGGTAATGGCCTCTGGTGGGGAACGGCGAGATACTGCCCACCACCCCACCTCCTATTATGGTCTGGCTGCTTCTTCGTCTCCCCAGAGTGTTTGCTTTCAAAGACTGGAGTGGGTTTCTTTTTTCTTCTTTTAATGAGAACAATCTTCAACTCTCTTGTTCCTCTCAAAGCTCTGAAATTAATGGATGTATCCTCATTGATTTCGCTGTGAGGCGTCACTCCGAGCCAGCTAAGTAACAGAGTGATTAAATGCTTCAATGCTTCACGATCGACCTCCAAAGTTGTAACTTTTTCATCCCTCTGAGCTGTGTTTAATTTTGAGTGCAGCCTGTCGATGCCAAGTACTTGGGCTCACAGGATCCAGACCTTATGAAACAAAGAGCGATGTATTTTTAAAAAATCATTTTTATTTTAGAAGACTTGTTATAGATAGAGAGATAGAGAGATAGAGAGCTAGAGAGATAGAGAGATAGAGAGATAGGGAGTCGTGCCTCGCTTAACGATTGCCTCGCTTAACAAGGAAATCGCTATACGATTAGGTTTTTGCGATCGCTTTTGTGATCGCAAAATGATGTTTTAAATTGGGTTTTTTCATTTAACGATGATTGGTTCCCTGCTTTGGGAACTGATTTTCGCTTTATGATGATCAGCAAACAGCTGATCGTCGGGTTTCAAAATGGCAGCCAGCTGCAGAAAATGGCCCCCCCACTGTTTTCTAGGACGTATTCCTCACTTTACAGGCACCGAAAATGGCCGCTGTATGGAGGATCTTCGCTGGACGAGCAGGTTTTTAGCCCATTGGAACGCCTTGAACGGTTTTCAATGCGTTTCAGTGCGATTTTCCATTTCATTTGACGATGTTTTTGCTCTACAGCCATTTCGCTGGAACGAATTAACATCGTCAAGCGAGGCACCACTGTAGGTAGGTAGGTAGGTAGGTAGGTAGGTAGGTAGGTAGGTAGGTAGGTAGGTAGGTAGGTAGACAGCAAAATATTATGGATGTGGGTCAACTGACTTTATCTAGATGCAGTGATAGGGATGAAGAAAAAGAAGAGCGAGCTGGCATCTCTAGAAAGGAGAGGCCAAAATGTGTTGGTTGCTCTTCTTCACTTCATGTTTAATGTTATCATGTGCCATCAGGTCACCTCAGATTCATGGCAACCCTATGAAGTTACCTTCAGAACGCTGTGTCGTAAAGAGCCCTGCTCATCTCTTGTAAACTCAAGGTTGTGGATTCTTTATGAAGTCAATCCATCTCATGTTTTGTCTTCCTCTCTTCCTGCCATCTCCAACTCTTCCTAAGAATTCCTAACTTTTTTTAACAGTCTTTTCCAGCGAGTCTTGTCTTCTCATGGCGTGCCCAAAGGAGGAGGGTCTCCATTTCATCCTTTTAAAAAACTGTTTTAAGTGGTAAATAATAAAATTGACTCATGCAGAAATTTGGTGGGCAAGAAGTAGCTGGCGCTTGGAAATTTTACTTTTTGTACTTGGGGGCACCTCGGTGCCAACCA